TTAAATTTCTTAAAAAGATCATAAGATTTTAAAAGTTTTTTATATTAAATGAAAATGTGAAATGTAAAATGTGTGGAAAATGTCATAACTTGAATAATTCCTCTTTCAAAAATTATATCAATCCAAAATATGCCATAAATACCACAAAATCTTTGGTAAGAGACATCTGACTATAAACACATTCCGATAAAAAAAAAGTTGTTGAAAATTTGTCTATAAAGTCTGAGCTTTCATACCTCTCTTCATACACAATCATTATATGCTCTGGTCGGAGGTCATAGAGGGCGTTCATGTGTGTCATGTACAGAGATTGCAACAATAATGTAATGCAATCTTTCGTAGGTATTCTGAAAAAAAACCGGCCGACAACAAAAAGATTTCACCCAGAAACATAATCTGTATTTGCAAATGGCCTTGTAGATAGACGACCGAGAGACCGGCAAATAGGCAGGCCAGCAGACAACCATATGGCCAATATATAACCAAATATAGTGAATTAAAACAGCATTCATGGCGGTGGTATTATCATCATCGAAGCTTTCCATGATGAGTGTGAGAATGAACAAACAAATGGATTTTATTTGCGGTTATTCCGTTTTTTTGTTTTGCTGGGCATAAAAAAGTACTCACAAGCAATTAATTTAACATTAATTTGTTTTAATAGGTTTTTAAGCACAAATAAACAGAGATATAAATAATAAAATATCGGCAATAACACCAACTTTAACTCACCGAATTCGCAAAGTGTTAACGTGAACAAGGAAATAGAATCCAAGGAGATGGGGGAACCGCTATGAAAGGGCCATTTGTGGAGTCATAAAATATTTTAAAATTATTGGAATCATAACTTTTGATTTTGCTCTCCTCTTTTTGGCAACTTTGCCATTTCAAAAAAATTTTCGCTGGCAATAAAATTGCTCTTAACTATAACAGCGAAGCAAGTATAGAAACGTAGCCAGGGCAATCCACAATGAATGTAAAGAACGAAAAACATACTTCTCATAAATTTGCACTTTGGCCAATAAATATTGTGTTAAACGCTTTTTTTAAAACGCAAACAACAACGACAACAAATAATTGTTTTGAATTTACTATTTGTTAAAGGATTTTATTTGAAAATAAAAAATACTTTGTATTTCGAGGATTCAAAAAGTTTATGAATCAACTGTGGTTTTTTGGATCCAAAAATTGCGCGATAAATTTAGAAAAAAAATGTAATTAAAATTGTAACTGATCTTTATGCATATATTTTTTACATTTTTGTAAATGTTATTGAATGAAAGCCAAAAATGAAATGAAATAGCATCGAATTTTAGAATAAGTTTAGATTTGCTCGAATGGATCACCTTTGGCACCAATTATGGCCTTCACACTTCCAATGAAACCATCACACGCTGCCCGAATGTTGCCCTGCAGTATTTTGGTCTTTTTCCGTCGAAGCGCTTGCTTGAGGTGATCGACACTTTGATATTTTTTAGTGCCAACCTTGCTTTACAAACACAATAGTCCAACGGATTGGTATCCGGAGATTATGATGACCATTGTTCCCTGGAAATGAAGCGAGGAACCTCATTTTGTAACCATTATTGGGTGGCGCGTTCTGAGTGCGATGGTGGTGAGTCCTGTTGGAATGTCCAAGATCTGCTGCCATATTCGACGGACCTTTGGGCCCCTAAGGCCCATTCCAATCAACGAGGCTTATCCGCAGGCAACATTCTTTGCGTCAATTGAATTTTCAATTCGAATAATCCGTTGTAAAGTGGACCGAGCCATGCCCAACTGCTGAGAACGGCGTTTTTGGGATGTTCTTGGGGACCTCTCAACACTGGCTCGTACGGCAGCGATATTCTCGGCCGATCGAGTAAAATTTTACCGACCTACTTCAATTTTTTCGGAAGCTAGAGTGATATCCACAGACGGATAGAATTTTATGCTGATCAAAAATATATATACTTTGTGGGATATAAAATGTATATTTCGAGGTGTTACAAACGGAATGGCAATGGTGGAGGGTATGAAAAGTCCTAACATAAACTGAAATATTAAGGTGGACTTTCGTCTGACGAAGTAGCGAACATTTGCTATTTTTATAGAAAAATTTCTTGTTCCCAAAATTAAACATTACATTGCCACAAACTACTGTCCCACATAACAAATACATTATCGAATAGCCGCTGTAATAGTATTTATTTGCTAAAATCCTCAAATGGCAAACGGTACTCAATAATCGTTGAAGCAACGATATTTTGCAACCTAACCATCGTCCTTTGCAATGCAATTTGTTGTTTACTTTGGATTTCTATCAAATCGTAACTTCCACTCAATGTTGCAGGAGTAGAATATATTCTTCACCGGAATCACCGTATATTTCTTGAACCGAGTAAAAAGCAGGAAATCGCCAGCCAGCCATGCAGCCAGCGGTAAATTGGTACGGTGAGTGTGTGTCCGTTTGTCTTCGCAAATCCTTTTAATGGCCAATAATAGAAAAATGTTGTCACATTGGCTTTAAAAATGGATGTTTCTCTTTGTCGTTTCTACGGCTGCTGGCTTGTGTTGAGGAATTTGAATGTAGATGCCATTGTTGTTGCTGCTGCTACTGCTAGTATTTGTTCAATATTTTTCAATTGTTAAGGATAATCCTGGACAAATGCTAAAATACGATTTTCACTTAAAATACATTTATAGCACCGATGCAAAGCTAAAAAATGGGGGATTTCTTAGAAATGTATCGCAGAAAAAAGGTTATTTATTTAAGATATTTATTTGCAATAAACAAATTTAGAATTCGTTTTACTCTATGGGTGTTAACGTGTGAATTTGTGGAGGACAATATTTACATAAAAATTTGACTCAATTTAATTCGAAAGAATCCTACAACATTTGAGCTGTTATTTTGAAGTGTTATAGAAAAAAACTGTGAAAAAATGTCCTCATTGTGATGTAGGTTTAAATCAGACTTTTATTTGATATGTCTATAGATATAGAATAACAGAAAAAGTTCTGTAGGCATACATACGGCTTTATTTAAAATATTGAATTGTGGTTAAAAACTTTCAACACAGTGTACTGAGCAAAATCCCTGGCTCACATATATCCCCGGTATTCGGTATTTTGATGGTCATAGCCACATTTTAATTCCGAACATAAGTAAGTCTTCTCATATTTCATATTGCAGTTTTAAGTTCTTTTTTATTACCTAGCCTTCTAGAACAGCGGTATCGCAAATTTTTTGAACCGAGACATGTAGAAGGGAACTTTCCCTTTGGAAGACCCGCTCGTGGTCTTTTTCTTAAGGATATATTTAAAAGGACTTTTGCCTTTGGAATACCTGTGAAGATCCTTTAAAAAACCTTCGACGTATAAAATCCCTGCATAAGGTTTTCTGCCTTTCGAGAATTTTTTATATTTTTGATGAATAATCCATGATTTAAAAAAAAATATTATTAACAAATGTACAACTAGAAATACTTGTATTTAAAGAACTATTAATTTTTAAAAATATTCTTAAAAAATCAAAGATTAACAAAAAAATATTTTTTTTAAATATTCTTGATATAAAAACATATTTTTTGCATTTAAAAAATCTGAGATATTTATTTATTTAAAAGCCTGCTAAAGTTTTAACAAAAAAAAATATTAAAACATTTTTTTTGTTTTTCAAATTTTTAATGTTTTTTATGTCCACGTTTCTTTCAAATCTTTCCTTCAAAATCGAAATTATCCTGATGTAGAGCATCTCGACAAATTTCGACTTATTTCGGCGATACCTTGATAAATGATATATTACATTTTTGTACTCTGTCTTGACCCTAATACCTCTATTTAAAATTTTGAATGCTAACAAGTAAAAAAGCTGTAAGTTCGGCAAGGCCGAACATTGAATACCCTCTACCATTTGGAACTAATTTGACAATATACAAAGAAATAAAATCCATTAAAAATTCTGTTAATATCTTAAAAATAACGAATATAGCTATTATATTAGGGTCTATACGACGACGTGGACCTGCATCATCAAAACACCGCATATAGGCAGGTACCGTTATATGGGGGCCATACTAAAATGTGCACCTGTGCAGATAATTTCTGTCATAGGCTGTAGTATCCATTACAAACTTCAAATACTAAATTAATTTCACCTAAATCTTCAAAATACCGAATATCGGGAGGTACCGTTATATGGGGCTATACAAATACTTGGACCTGCACAGACACTTTTCTCTCTTAGACTGTAGCATCCATTACGAACTTCAAATATCAAATAGGAAACAATTCCGGTGAATAATGTCGTTATATGGGGGCTATAACAAAACGTGGGCCTACATGGCCCATTTTCAATACCAAAGCTCCTGAAGACATAATATATATTTGTGTAACATTTTATCAACCTACTTCATTTCGTTCGTAAGCTAAAGTGATTCCACAGACGGACACAGCTAAATCGACATAGAATTTTATGCTAATCAAGAATATTTTGAGGTTTTAAAAACGGAATGACAAACTTAATATACCCTCCATACTATGGTAGAGGGTATAAAATCAAGCGTGTTTTACAGTTACACATATTTCATCTTGGCATGTTCGCTAGATGTCATAAAACACAATTTAGAAACTTTTAGTACACTTTCTGTTTGAATTTCAAAATATTCAACCTTGTCTTTTTAAATTTCAAAGTTCCAGGTCCAGACAAGTTCTTTGGGCTTCAATGACAGTTAATATCATCCTCATTCACGACTAAAGTGTGCCAATGTATAGGTGTTATTAAAAATTACTATACAATGGCTCAAAATATCATTTAAAATATGGAATATTCACTCAATTGTTAAGAATCACATTAAGTTTGGATTGTACGTGACTATTGAGAAAATCCAAGTGTATTCAAATGTTAATTTTCAAAAACAATTAAATTTTATAATATGTATGTGTTGATTTCCATCCGAAAAAAGTGATATGCTATAAATTAAGAGTTTTGCAATAGTTTTAATCAATTTTTAACACTAATTTTTCAAACAAAAAAGTTCATTTATTAAATTGAATATGAAGTTCTTAACAATAGTCATGGGATTTGCTGTTTTAGCTCTTATGTACGGCACTGGTGAAGCGTGTATATCGGTAAGTATCAATCGGTGAAAATCATTACTAGATTAGGTAAAAATTAAAAAAATATATATATTTTATTTAGTTCCCACAAAATCCAGGACGGAATGGACGTAAATAATGAGTAGATATGGCGGAAGAAAACGTTTCTAAAAAATAAAACAATACATTATGGAAAATGTTTATATTTGATTTTTTTACATCATTTTTATAATTTCAACGGAGTGCAAAATGTAGTCCATAGCTTTGTAGAGCTCCAAATTTACGATAACAGTGAAAATCTTTCACTGAAATTTTAAATTTCATTGAAAACGACCATACTTTTTTCGACAATATAATTGCATTTTATAACAGTCGAAAAATGTTGAGTCTAAATAATCTTGACGAGTTCCATATACCCCCACAAAAATAATATTTCAGATATCAAAGGTGGATTGTGTAATCCAGCGGCGGGTAATTCGACAATGTCCAATTAGTTAAAATCACTATAGCACTATGCCAAAGTATGTACTTCTGTTGTAATTATACCCTACAACACTGTGTGTTGGGGGTATTATAAGTTTGATTGGGCCAAAAATTATGTAACACCTCGAAATATTGATTTCCCACATAGGAAAGTACATATGGATCTTCCTAGCTCGCCGAGCTGAGTTGAGCTAGCTAAGTATGTCCGTCCGTCCGTGTGTCCATGTTAATTTGTAATCACTCTACAGGTCGAACTTATGGCCCGATCCTCACGAAATGCATGTGGGGTTAAGGTCAGAATAGAACCCTATTTCTTTTGGAGTTGATCGCATAATGTTTAGGGGTTGAAGTGGACCAAAAACTGAAAAATTTCTTGATTTTACAGTTGCTCTACAGGTCGCAATTTTGGACCAATCGACGCGGAAGTTAGTATGAGGCTAGAGCTCACAACTGGGCAGAAGTCTTCCAATTTTGATGGTCATCGGGTAATATTTCGTTGGTGAAATAGACCATAACATTTGTGTTAAATAAAAGTCACATTTTCCTTTAAACGGCGAATATTTTAAATATAGGCGAAATCACAAATAGACGAACAGGTCAATTCTGACCGTTACGTAGACGCCGATATTAAATATATTGGATATATATAGCGAAATATGTACAATGTGTGTATACAAAGGAAGGGGATGTTAGCATGAATGCTTATATATCAAGATTGGCTGGACAGATTTCGACAAATTTTGTCAATTCAGGATGGCCCCTTGGCATAATAGAATAAAATCTAGAAAAACCACATAAAAAGATGCTAATAATGATGTTATTATAGATTTTGTAGTATTTTGTGAAATTTTGTTATTTTTTCATATTTTTTATCGCATGCGTTTTTTTTCAATCTGACTTATAATATTTTGTTATATTTTTTTCACCTTACAACACAGGTTAGGGATATTATATAGGTATTGCAAATATCGTCCGATCCTCACGAAAATTTTCCCAAGAGTAGGGTTGGGCTCAGAAGGGCTAGGCCTACTGTTTTGAAACATGTCCGCAATATATTAGGGGTTGAAATGGACCAACAACTAAAAATTTTCCTGATTTTGCAGCCGTTATAAAGGTCACAAATAGAAAACAAAGGACACGAAATCTCGCATAAAGTTAGAGTTTAGGACAGCGGGTACAATGTACCACTAATTTTTTGTGAAAAAATAACAGCATTACTTACTGCCGAAATACACAAAAGGCGAACTTCTGGCTTTTTATGCTGATTTCGTTGACGAATATAGCCAAATATCGTAGACAAGCAAATCATATAGATGAGTCTAAATTTGGAGATACAGAGGGACTTCTTGCTTTTGGAGATGATCGCAAAATATTTAGGCGTTCAAATTAACTAAAAACAGAAATGTTTTTCGATCACACAATTGGATGACCATTGGATTATATTTAGCTGTAAAATGGACTACAACAACTAACAGCCCGACGGAGTGCATAAATGTTGGGCAAATGTCCCTAGTCAAAATCCTAATTTCAAAAGAGAATTCTTCCAATATGGATTTGGACATAAGGGGGCTTCTAACATATGTAGTGTTGTAGGGTATAACATAGTCGGCCCCGCACGACTATAGCCTTTGCTTACTTTGCTTTTTTCTGTAAGATGGTTTTCTCCTCTCAAATTAGCCAAAATACACATATTTAGCCAAATCGATTGTAAATTATGGTTAAGACCCTCGAAAAAGATAGAATCAGGAGATACCTTAATATGAGCGCAACTCCGAAATACATATATGGTTTATTCTAAGATTTGTAGGGAACGTTTTTGAGAATATTTCTTCACTTGACACTTTCTGCCAAAAATAAAATTTTAATCAATTAAATTCACCAACTCGAGAAAATACCAGGAAAAAGTTGATCAAAAATTGTATTTGTCACGGTTGAATTTATTGACTATTATATTTGTAGAATATTTTGACTAGATTCGAAACTATAATGATAACAAGTAACAAAGCTGTAAGTACGGCCGGGCCGAATATCTCCACCATTTGCAACAAATTTGGAAATTAAAAAAAAATAAACAAATAAATAAATAAAAAAGTCCGGTAAAAATTCTGTTAAAATCTGTGAGCTACCGAATTTAGCCGTTATATTAGGGTCTATAGGTAGACGTGTACCTGCATAGGACGTTACAAAATTAAAATTCGAAACTTGAAAAAAATCGCTGATTTCCACAGACGGACGTCGCTAAATCCACATAGAATTTTATCCTGATCAATTTTATCCTGATCAAGCATGGCCATACTTTGGATCAAACACAATATATCTGTAAATATAGATAAAATACCGTCTAAATGTTTAGTTTAGATAACATTTCTTCAGACCAATGACTTCTTTGATAAATTTCCTTAAGGCGGAAAACGTTTCTTATGTCTGCAGTAGATAGGTCTTTTGTAAATCTTATTTAGATTTAGAGTTCGTCCCATACAAAAAAATATTGTATAAACTAAAAAACTTTACAAATCAAAGATCTTGTTCTTCTATGCTAAAAAGTAATTTAATAAAAATGGATTGGTGTTTTCAAAATTTATTTTAATTTTCTCCACAGTGTGCCACAGTAATTATATTGACAGCAAATTCAAAAAATTTTTAAGTGTTTGTTTTCTCTTTCGAGACGAGCTTAATGATCTGAAATTTGCAAAATTTTTATTTTACTAGTTTTTTACTTTCCTATAAATGGTGGTCCAGATCTGCTTACTCTCTGTGCCCACGTTTGTGGTGAGGACTTCCAGAAATGAGAGGGTAACAATTATAGTCCAAACTATTAATTTAGTTTCAAAGAAGAGGTACTTACAGAGGCGGCTTCTCCAAAGCCACACACCAAAGCAAGGACAGCAAGACCCAGGATACTATTTATTAATTTCATTGTGGTAAAAGGAAATACTTTTAAAAAATAAATTATACTTGAAGACGTAGTTGTGACTTATTTTATAGAAAAGTTAATGAAATTTTAATCTAGAGGCAATCCATAAAAATTAATTCAGTTATCCTTAATGAGATACAAATTCAAGTTTAAATGTAAATTTATGAAAGTGTTTCTGCAACAATTTAACATCAATTGGCTTATTGTTCTATTCAAAGCTTAAAATGCTAAACTTCTTAGAGATTAAATTCTGCAATAATAAAATATGGCATTTTTTTAAACACTAAATAAGAGTTGTAGCACTATAAAGTAATAAAGAATAATTAACATGTTATAAAGCTGTAAGTTCGGCCGGGCCGAACTTTGAATACCCTCCACAATTTGGTGCAAATTTGGCAATTTTCAAAAAAATAAAATCCATTAACAATTCTGTTAAAATCTTAAAACTACCGAATGTAGCCGTATATTAGGGTCTGTACGACGACGTGGACCTGCATAGGCAACTTTTGTCACAAGCTTTCAAAAAAATAAAATTCATTAACAATTCTGTCAAAATCTTAAAACTACCGAATGTAGCCGTACATTAGGGTCTGTACGACGACGTGGACCTGCATAGGCAACTTTTGTCACAAGCTATTACAATATTCAAATGCGAAACTTTAAAAAAATCTGTTTATGATGTAGCTAAAATCATCAAAATTCCGAATATAGGGAGAAACTATGGGAGTTGTAAAACGTGGACTTGCACAGACAATTTTTCGTCATAGCCTGTAGTATCCATTACGAACTTCAAATGCGAAATTTTAAACAATTCCGTTAAATAATGTCGCTAAAATCATCAGAATACCGAATATCGGAGGTGCCGTTATATGGGGCCTATACGAAGAAGTGGACCTACATGGCTTAATATACCATCCATACTATGGTGGAGGGTATAAAAATAGATTACTTCAAACAAAAATAAAATAGCTGTTGAATTTTTACCTGTCATGATCTTGAATACTGAAAAGTTATTACTAAAACTAATTTATTCAAATGAGTCTCTGGTCGTCACTGACGAATCGTATAAATATAGGAATTTTCAATGATTGAAATCATTCTGTAACATTTCGTCAACAGGTTCCCTTTGTATTTCGAACTAAATTCAAAATGAAATTCTTAACAGCTGTTATGGGTTTTGCCGTGCTCGCCCTTATGTATGGCTCTGGTGAAGCCTGTTTAGGAGTAAGTTTCCATGTGGATTTCACATTTTAATAAACAAAATTATTTATATATTTTTTATTTTTTGCAGTTCCCACGTAACCAGGGCGGTCCATCTCGCAAATAAATATTTTTGAATATGACATCTCTGTATTCTTATATTTAAACATTTTATAAAATATATACTTGCAGCAGATTGAAAGTACATTAGTTATTTTTATTCCATGCCAAAAAGTTTGCAATATTCAGATAAATGAGTCGATTTAGCTTTTTGTATCCATCCGTCCATAGTAATCCATAGTAATTTGTAATAACTCAAAGCGTCACAGTTGTAGTCCAATCCCAACAATGAAATATTAAGCTACCCTGGCTGGGATCAGAAAAAAATAAAAGATTCCCGGATTTGTTGTTGTCTTTTAGTCGTACAAATATAGAGTAATCGACGGATTTTTTCACAGAAAAAGAATGGACAAAAGCCTATCATTTCAAACAAAATTAAAAAGAATAGAGGTTAATGGTAACCGAGTTAAGTAGAAGTTGTGTGTAACCGCGAATATAATAAAAGCTGAAACTCATCTCCCAGCAAAATCAAGAATATAAAAATCG